TCAGTGGGAGGCTGCCGTGGCTCCAGCCACCTGCAGCGGCGGGAAAGCCACAGAGCAGGATCTCTAGGAGCCAGTGCAGCAGACCCGGTAAAGCAGGAGGGAGTCCTGGAGGCTTCGGTGGCTTTGGCAGACTTGTATTGATTTTACCAGGTACGCGGCAGGCAGGGGTGCCCGGGACTGGGAGCCTGGCAGGCCTCCCACCCCCAGCAAGGCTTCACTCTCTCTGGGCTCTCCGGGGTTCTCCCATGGCCTCCTTCTCTCTCTTCTCATGGTTCTGCTATTTCCGCTGTTGCTCCCCACCAGCGTTGGCCTCTTTCTCCTTCTGGTCTGCAGGCGTCCTGGTGATGCCGCCCTTATAAGCCCAGTCTTTCAGCCCAGGTGACTCCCATCTACATATGCCCACACCCCACTGCAGGTGCCCGCCGTCAGGCATGCACTCAGGACCACAGGGATCCATCATCAACCCTAATGGCGGGAGGGCAGAAAAGCCTGACATTTACTTACCCTACACCACCCCAGTCCTGGCTGCCTGCCTGCCCCGCCCCACAGAACACTGGAGGAGCCCATTGGCCATAGTTCCTTTCTACCTGCATAGCCTTCGGCAGCGCTGGGGGGAATCTTTGACTCTAACTAAACACCCTGGCAGCCCGGGGTCAGAGCTCTGCCAGCAGGAGAGGCAGACAGGCTGCAGAATTTAAGGAGGTGGTTGCCTGAGAATGGGCGCCTCGTTTTTCTCTTTTGCATCCTGGTGACTTCCTCATTTCACTTCATCCTTGGTCTGAGCTGTAGTTTGGGTGTTTTCTAGAATTGCCCATTTGACAGCAGGTCATATGTGTAGTTTGCAGCAACAACTTTTGTAAGTTTAGGTTGATTGGGTGGCAGGGCGGGGACCAATCTCAGGTTGGGGTCCACTGTTCATCTTTAACTCCATTCCCTGTGGATGGCAACCCCTTCCCGTGCCCTGGGGCTGCCCCCTCCCTGCGTTGTGTGACCGTACCCCCAAGGCTCCATGTTCATGTCTAGGAGCGAACTTCTTGGTTGGGTCTCTTATGTGGATTTTTTGTAATGGCCATACAGTCTCTATTTTATTTTTATTTTTTAAAGATTTATTTATTTATGCATACAAGAGCTGGGGTGTTGGCCAGAAGTGTGGGGTGAGAGGATTCACCAGAGACAGAGTGAGGAACAGAACAGGCAGACTGACTGAAATACACTGCTGAGGGGAGCAGAGGGCGAGACAGGAGAGGTCTGCTGTGCCATGTGGGTCACCTCCCTGGCCGGGGATTGACCTGGTGCTGCAGTGGCTGCCAATAGCTTCATAGTGTGGGACTTAACCCCTTGCGCCACTAGGAAGGCCCAACACACAGTCTCTATTTTAAGACAGACCTGCCCAACATACCTTGCAAATTGGAAGATAAGCCAGACCTCATTTTCAGCAGCTTAGGGAAATGACTGCCTGCCTGCACCTTGGGGGTAGCTCGCTCATGTTCTATCCAATTACACAATACTCTCCACATTTGGTACAATTCCAGTGTATTTCACAGGCTGTTGTCCCCACAAGAAACATTTTATAATACCCATCGACCTTTTCATACTCAACTGATTCTATAGAAAATTGCCTTCATTTCCAATAAGGAATCTGAGAGTTTAATTATGAGTCAGGTTGAGAACCAGGGTGACCTCAAATGGGGGAAGCTAAAGGACTTTCTGAGGGCAGAGAAGTGCTTTTGTTTACATAGTTTTGTATTTTTATAGTATTTCTCTTATGTTAGAATTCAGCTTTATTTCTTGCCACCAGTGAAGTTAACCTCCAGCCCTTCTGTGATGGAGGAGCCATAGAATTGGAGCTCTAAAGTGTCTTTCTATAACAGGGTGGTCCCCAGGAAAGGGGGAGGTTCTGTAACAGGGTGGTCCCCAGGAAAGGGGGAGGTTCCAGGTTTCCTGCCCCACCCAAGGGAGGGTGGAGCTGAGCAGGGAGAGAAGAAGCTGAAGAGGAGACTGAGGAAGGAAGAAAGCAGGATGGAGCTAGAAGGAGACCTGGAGGTGGCACATGGAGCCTAGAGACACGTGAAGAAACTGCGCTTGTCTTTTGGTCGTGGACTGGGTGACACAGATGTGGGTGAGACCTGTGGGGAGGTGACAATGGCAGCTTTTATCTTGATTTTGCTCTTTTCCTTCCGGGCTTGTCTGGTTGTTTCTGACCCTTTTCTGTGGGGGTTCCCACTGGAAGGTACTTTAGACTTCAGGCAGGCTTTGGGGCCTTGCTCTGGGCCAATCCCATATGGATGGACTTTTACCCACGAGGGGACAGGCAACTTTGGGTGCTTCATTTAGAAACTAGATTCTTTGCCTTTCCTGGATTGTTTCCTAGTTTTATTAAAGTTCCTTCCCATTAAAGTCTCCTATGTTTTTGTGTTGATGCGGCGGATGGCAGAACCCATTTAGAATAGGCAGGTTTGCAGGGTTTGGGCTGCCCCTCTCCCTGCCCTGTAACATTTCAAGTGAAAGGAATCTGCTTTGGCTGGTGGCACCGGGTGCCTGGCACTTTGTGGCACTTACCACCAACCAGACTATAACAGCTGCTTTGTAAGAATGGCATAAAGGAATCGCTCAGCGTGGAACACAGCACGCAGTTAGTGCTTAAGAACCTCAGTTTCAGCATCTAGTGGCCACCGACCAGAATGTATCCTCACCTAACCCTTTTTGTTTATATAAGGAGATAAACTGAGGACTCTCCACAGAGGGGCCCGTGGTGGATGGCTCTGCCTCTTGTCCATGGCCTTGGGACAAAGAACACAGGCAGAGAGAATTGAGGGAGAACTGAGGCCCTCAACGGAGACTCTGGATCCTTTCCTGGGGCTCCGGGGCACCTAGTGGGTCCATCTACTCAGGTCTACGTGACCTTTGGAGAGTCCTGCTCCTCCATGTTCTTCATTCTTTTTCTAGGGAAACAGGACACCTGAGCCTGCCTAAGGCTGAGTCAGCAACTACATGGAGATTCTGGTTTCAAAGTCTGGGGCTCCAGCCTGGATGGGATGGATACGCAAAAACACTTGCTTTTCTATTTTTTTAAAAACAAACATTTGGAAATTCTTTCCCTTCCCCACCACTATTGATTTTACACTATTGATAGATTTTTTTTCAAAAAGACCATTTGTATGTAAATCAAGCAGACATGCAGGCCATTTGCATTTATATTAGCAGGGTGCTCATTGTCATTAATTATTTATTGTTTTTAGCTATCCTGAAACTTGGGTTTTCTGGTCTCCATCTCACAGCTGGAGCAAGCTTCTAAAGCCCTTGGGTTGCCAGTTCCAAGTCAGGTGGACTTTTGTGACTCAGCTAAGATGGAAACAGGCCCTTAAGTGGGCCAGGTGCTTGGGTCCTTACTGAATGAATTTCTACATGGACCTTCTTTTGTGAAAATACTAACATTTGGAGATTCATTTAGCGTTGTTATGGAAACCCCTTGGTTCATTTGTTGCTAGCATTCTGAGTGAACTTCTGCCACAAACATTTTCAAGCATTCACCAAAGCAGTGAGAGTGATAAGATGAACTCTGCTCCCCAATCCACTGTCTACTTGATCAACATTTCACCCATTTCCTCTCACCTCCCTCCCACTTCTTGTTTTACTAGATTTTTGTTTGCTGACATATTGTAAAGGAAATCCTCGATACCACAGACTTTTCACCCATAAATGCCTCAGAGCAGACAAGCACTTAAGAAAACAACAGAATCATCACACCATTATCTCACCTGATATAATTAACATAACGATTTCATGCCACCTGGTCCCAATCCATGACTTAAAAATGTCTAATTTTATTCGGTTTCTTCCATCAGGATCCCATATTTGTTGCTGTTTGATGTTAATCCCATCAATCTGATAAGCATTACTGAATGCCAGTGATGGGCCATGAGCTGCAGCAATGGAAACCATTGTGATTTCGTCCCTGACCTGGAGGCGATCACAGTCCTGCAGAAAAGACAGACACAGAATTAAACCACCTGAGTCTGTCCAGCTCAGGGAAGACTCAAACCGAGTTGTGTATCATGTGCAGCAGGGACACAGGGAAGGGGCTTGGGAAGCAGTGGGGTGATGGCGGGCATGTCCTGGTCCAGTAAGTCTAAGGTCGAGAAGCAATTGTGATGTGTTTCAAATGTCGATGGACACGTTCAGTGCCCTCATTGTCTGTGGTGGTGTTACGCATATTCTACCTCCTGAGGAGAGGGGTGGCTAGATGATGCAATTACTGAACACGAGTTGGAGTTTGACAGGCAGTTAATCAGGCAGAGGAAGTCCAGAGAGGATGGACCCCGGATGAAGTGTGCATGGTGGCTGATGTGTGTCTTTTGGGGACCAGTGATGGGAGGGGTTCAGGCGTGGAGGAACGGGTGTCAAAATCCACTGACTGGGGGTTGGGAATGTTCTGTAAACCAGGAAAGGGACTCTGCTTTAGGAAACAGGATACCGCTGGAAGATTTAAAGAAGACAATGATAAAATTGGATCAGTATTTTGGGAAAAAAAATCTGCTGGCACCATAAAGGCTAAGGTGGGCCAGCGATTGCCTGAGAAATCTCCAAGAAAGAGGCTTGCAGAGGGAGAGGCCAGGAGAGAAGGAAGATCTATTCCATGCTTATTTTTTCCTAATGATATTTAGGATTTTTTTTTTTTTAACACACCCATTGTAGAAAATTTGGAAAAGACATAAAGAAGAAAAAAAATTCCTGTACTCCTGGAAGCATATCTTCGAATATTTTGCTATCTCTCATTTTAGTTTTATCCTCCTTCTTTCTGAAAATTTGATATGTACATAGGGTTTTGAATCCTATTATTGCACATATTATGCCATAATTTTACAGTGTCACCAGGAGTTAAAAGGCATGCTTTTGAACTAACATGTCACTCCACCAGAGAGTGATACCATCATTTATTAATTATTCTCCTGTTGAGACAGCTCTGTTATTTACAGGCTCCTTTCTTCTTTGCATTTCAGAGGGTAAACGGTGCTTGCATTTCTGCCAAAGTTCTACACCCACATCTAAACAGAAGTCCTGGATTCCCTGTTGCTTTGACTGAAATTTTCCACTGAAACCATCCTCTCATGCTCAAATGTGACCAACCAGTGGCCACAAGATAAACTCTGAACTTCTAGAAGCCCTGTGTAGTGGGACTTGCAGCTTCACCCATGGCCCTGTGTCTAGGATGACAGCTCATCAGGTGAGTGGGTGGACTGGCCTTTGACCTGAGTTTGTAAATCATGTCAACATTTTGTTATTGCTGTTCACAGGAAAATATTTTTTTGGAAGCACTTCACTTAGCACAACTGATACACTTTCAATCTATTCATAGCTATTTCCTTCATAACAGACAGGTGTGAGAATAGATATCTCTGATTTTCAAAGATTACCAAGGGGGTACAGGCTGCTCAGCTGCCGGAATTAGATGCTATTTTGTGAAAAATGTTTGAAATGCTCAAATGTTTGCTTGTCTGCCATCAAGGGCCTCGTGGTCCTAAGTTCATTGTTGCCCCTTCGCTTCTTTTCCCCGTAACCTTCCATTGATGGTTTGGGTTCTTTCGAGGAATGCTACAGTGAGCTTACTTGGGAATCTGGCTAGAGTGTACAGTCTGTCCAGCTTTTATGTATAACCTTATCAGACCATAGTTCATAGAATGATAGGAATTAGAGGCGATGGGTCCAATCAATAACCCACCCTTCTCCAAAATATTATGCATGATAGACTAGCAGAACGATGTGAAAATACAGGGAAATCAATCGATGGAACTCCTGATTATAGGAAATATAGAAGGAATATGACCAAAACCACAGAAAGGTGGGCACATATTTTTGAGGAAATATTTTTTCAGTAGATCATTGTGATGTGTCCAAATTTTGCTGTAGTATTGAGGACATTCTGATGACTCATTAAGTTAGTGGTTTGTTCAAGAAGCAACGGTCATGGAGGCAGGTCACACCTGAGCAAGCTGTGTGTGTCCCAGGAGCCCAGGCAGCTCTCCTTGGTGAGAGTATAGGCTCCTTGGAAACTTGATCCAGCAGAGGCAGCCACATGTGTCCGTCAGGGTGTTTGGTTGGAGCTGGGTTTCTTCTCCGACTTTGTTTTTAGATTTTTTTTTTAAAGATTTATTTACTTATGCATACAAGAACTGGGGTGCAAGCAGAGGTACAGGGGGTGAGAGGATTCACCACAGACAGAGTGGGGAGCAGAACAGGTGGATCCACTGAAATACACTGCTGAGGAGAGCAGCGGGAAACAGGAGAGGTCTGCTGTGTCATGTGGGTAAGCTGTCTGGCTCACCAAGGATCGAACTTGGGCTGCAATGGCTGCTATAGCTTGATAGCACTGTTTTTAACCCCTGCGCCACCAGGGAGGCCCTCGTTTTTAGCTTTTTAAGAACCAAGATTCTCAACCACCTTCCTGGGAGTTCCTTCTTGGCTACCTCTGCACAGATGCAGCTGGGAACACACTGCAGGAACTGTTAATTTCCCATTATTTACTAATGAGTAGAAACACATTGTGTCATGGAATTCTCTACATGGAAGGTGAAAAATAAAATGTTGGCAAAAAAGATCATTGAAAGGCCACCATTTATTGGGCTATCTATGTGGATTCATGGAGAGAAGAACTATAAGTAGAATGTGGTGTGTCCCTTTCCATTTTGGTGGGTTTCTCAGGAAAGAAATTTAAAAAGAATGAGAAGAGAGGTGAAGGCAGAGTGTGGGATTCTGGGGTGGGGGTGGGGGGCTGAGGAAGGAAGCAATTGGATGCCTTTGCATTTTATTTCCTGTCTTCCTGGGATAGATGTTCTTCATGCGTGAATGTGTGGGATTCAGGTCATACCTTAGCTTCCATCAAGAGTTGAACAACAATCTTGCCATTAATTTCCATAATGAACAATGCTGAAACTCCCATTTTTTGACTTTTAAAAAATCACTCTATTTACACATGTTATCAAATACTTGAAAAATAAAGAATGACCATCATTCCATTATCTAAGGAAAGTTTTTGTTAATCTCTGAATAGAAAACAGCACTACAGATGAGTTGGAAGTTAGAATATTAACAGCTGGAGCTATTAGAAATTCTGCAGATAAAGGATTAAGCTGATCTTTAAAAAAGATTGGGAGAATTAAGATTCCTTGGGAGGAGAAGGGGAGCTTCTTGGCTGTGGATAAGGGTGGTAGAGGATGAAGATAATAAGAGAAAAAAAGAACGGGGCCCAAATGAGTGTGTGTGTGTGTGTGTGTGTGTGTGTGTGTGTGTTGCAGACAAGCTTTGGGCTCATTACACTGGAAAGCATTGATTATATATTAGACTTGACTATGGCCACTCTATTGCCTGGAAGGGAAATCGGCTCAAATATTATTAGATATTTAAATGGGCATGTGGAAGCTAAGAGATGGCATTGATGGACATTGTTATGTACACTTGGTTTTCTCTGCAGTTGGAAAAACCATAATATGAGGGATTCTATCCAAGGACTATAGTCATGTGTAGTCCACTTGAAGATGTCTTTAGCCCCAACACTGGGGCCATAAACCTTGGGATTGGATTCCCTACACTGCTGTTGCCTTCTGAGATCCATATGCTTCTGCCAGAGATCCACCCTGCACCCCTACCCCAGGTTGCTCACTTCCGAATCCCATGTCACATAGGCGCCCTTCATTTAGAGATTCTAAGTCACAAGGAAGAAACTAGGCTCCCATTCATAAAGGAATTTGTGATTACAAATTTGCTGGATGAGTCATCTGAATGTTCCCCGTGTGGGAGAAGATAGACTGGAGGTGTCTGACACTTGTTAAGGTAATGAATGTCCACTAATAGATTTTGGGAGAAGGAGGGTTTTAGTTAATATTAAACATTTAAAATTTTTTTTTTGATGTTAGAGAATTTAATTAATTCACCTCTTGAGTTTACAGTGAAGAGTTACAGTAGGAGTTACACCTCTTGAGTTTACAGTGGGTTTCTTTGAAATATCTGGACCTTGACTATGTGACAACCAGGGTAATAGAGTCTGTATGTGGTGAAGGACCTCAACACAGAGGGGCTAGTGCCACTTAAATTTAACTTGGTAGCTATTTATTGAACACCTGTGAAGTGTCAGGATGTAGGTGAGGGGTCAATAGCCTTGACCTTCTCTCCTTTCATCCTATTTCCATGGTCCTGTCGCCAGGCAGCTTTCATAGCTGCACAGCAGACAATCCCTCATCTTAGTGACTTGAAATCATGCAGATTCATTTCTTACCATCATGGGACTCAAGCTGAAGGCTGGTCCCTATTGGAACATACGTGGTTTGAGGTCCATATGGAAGTCTTGTGGTTGAACCATGCGGCAGTTGTTCAAGCTTTTGCTTGGAGCTGGTTCAGCTCCCTTCTCACATCTCATAGCCAAGCACAAACATACTGCCTAGCTTGAGGTCAATGCTCTTTCCTCAGATAAGGGCAGTCAAAAATGTCAAGATTCAGTGCAGTAAGTCACACTCCATATCAGCTTGGCCAAACTCGCAGGAGGACTGTAAACTCTTTCTTCAAAACTGACTTTCAGAATTAAACACTGAGTATTCCTTGTGTGGTCTGGACGGCACACATATAGAGGTTCCCTTTCTTCAGACCCAATATCAAGCTTCTATAAGAGAGCCTAAGATTAGACTACATTTTTTGTTTTAGCAGCAAGATCACTCTATACTACCTACTGTTGGGAAGGCAATCATAGCATGGGGCCACCTGATGCCCTGGGAGCTGGGCCTGGGCTCTGAGAGGCTCCTTCCCCCTTGCCAGCCATGTGGGGTATGCTTGTCTTCCCTGCTCCTAGAGGCTGCCCAAACTCCTATTCCTGAGACAGACTGTGTTGCTAAGGCCATCTGGATGGTGCATGTGAGAAAACATAGTTAAAGTCTCTATATAAACTTTGAACTTTGGGGAAGCAAGTTTGGAAAACTACTGGTTATGCAGCTGCCCGAGACAAATCTTGTAGGTAAGGTCCTTGGTTATTAAAACTGCCACCACTAGTGAGGGACATTGGCCTTTCTGTTAGTCTCTCTTTGCCCTCCGTGTTCAGAGACCAGTTTCAGATTACACCTTTCTTATGGTACAACACCTGTTTTTTGAAACCCACTCCCTCATGTTCCAGCTCCCTCCTACACTGCCTCTCTTTTCATTGGTGTTACCCTAATTTGGGCCATGTGTCAGGACTAACCAGCTGGCTTCATATATCAAGTTCCTGGATAAAGCAGAGATATTTCCCTGCTCGGTTCATTCTCTGAAAGAAATTCTTCATGTTCCCTCTCTCCACCTGTTATGGACCTATTGGTCCTACACTTTCCACCCCTCCCCTGTCTGACCCTCCCCTTTGTCTATAAACACTACCAGCTGTAAGTTCCTGAGATAGGTGTTGTTTGGGATGCAGAGAAATTTAAACCACAGTTTAAGCTTTAAGGAATTGACAGTCTAGCCTCACAGGAAAGACTTTTAGCTTTTGCAAACCTCAAGAAAATGAGAGAGCAAAATAAGATTATTTTGGAAAGAAAAGAGCGATTATCACTAGTCATGGAGTGGGGGCATTGGGGCTAGTGATGGATGCAGTGATGGGGTGACCATACCCGAGAGCAGACAGCAGTCAGGCCCTGGGGTCTGTTCAATTATGTCCCTCTGGTTTCCCACTCACACAGCCTCTCAGACTCTCTCAACCTCATGTCCGAGCTGCAATATGGAAATAATAACAACAGCCCATCTCCCAAACAGTGTTCTGGAAGCCACAAACAGGGAATGCGTATGAAATGCGTCACAAGTGCTTGTGATGTAGTAACCTCTCAATCCATTCCCGAACAGTCTCTTTGCATTTTGGCTTTTGAATTTAAAATGCATTTCCCCAAAGGTACAATTTTCAGAATAAATCACACACTTTTCTTTACATGAACTATATTCTTAATTTCAGCAGGGCCTCAAGTGTATTAGCAGGAGGAGAGAGATTTTTTTTTTAAATACCTAATGTAGAACTTTGACATCCTTCTTCAATATTTTTTTTAATGCTCAGGAATGACTGGGGGGAGTGGGCCTGGCCCGCCTGGGAGTCTGTGGTTGAGGAGATGCATGACCTTCTCTTCCTGAATGTCACAGTTTTTCCTCTCTTTAAGTTCTGAACCAAGGATGCAAGGAATTCTTGCATCCCTTTGGATGAATGTCTCTGCATTCTGGTAACTA